TCTTCAAACTCTCAGGAACACGGAGGTAACCAGACTGGCACGGTAGACTTGGGTGGTGGGGGGGACATGGAAGCTGAGAAATGTGAGAATATCGACCCCAAGAAAAAGATGAGCATTTGTTATTAGTTATGAGAAAGAAAAACTTCTCTATTCTGCAGCACATTTTTTAAATCAGAGACAACATCTTACAAATAGGGAAAACTTGAATCCAGCTTTGAATATGCTCAGTCTATTTAAAGTACTTTGATAAGTGAAGAAATTAAAGTACTCATCAATTACTAGAAGTTTCAATTTACGGTCAGAAATTGACAGGCTTTGAGCCAAGAATAGCCAAAGACTATGTACAATGAAGTGTGACAATTTGTAATTGTCATCCTGGTTGGAAGAAGAGTGACAGTGGAATACGTTCAACTTTGACTTGGGAAAATATATTCTGAACTGCAACACAGAATTGACTTGCCCTGGAAAGTGTAAAATCCTGAAGGTGTGAAGTGAGATTGCTGATTTTGTGCTGTAAAGTTAAAATACAGACTAGTGAAATCACCATATAGAATCAAGGCCTGGGTCTTTGTATTCATGAACACAAAGAAGAGCACTATAGTGTTCTAGAGACCTAAATTTATTCTGTGTGTTTAAGTGAAAATAGTCTGGCCTACAACTCTCATGTGACAATCTGCATCTAGACCAGAATTAATTAGATAAGAAACAGAACCCTCCATAGTCACATGAATTGAAGTGTCTTGTTTAATTGTCATCCCTAAGGAACTCCAAAATATAGCACAAATGTGAATCATGAGGTGAAATACAGTACCAGCAATTTAAGTGTGGCAAGTCAGTTGCCCCATTCATATATTGTCACTCTCAGCACAAGGCAGGTAAATAATCATCTCTAGTTATATGGCCAGGATTAATGCAGCCCTACAAAGTTGAGGTTTTTCTGATGACACAGAGGAAAAAAAAAAAAAGCCCATTCAAATCCAATGCTGCTCCCCTTCTCCCTCCCTTCTCTCTATCTGGAAATTAAAACAATATGGTAATACAGAAAGATGGGAAGAAATCCCTAGACATTCAGGCATATGGGTTCTAGTACTGCTTTCTCAACTAATTAACTGGGGAAAATTGGATGGGTCACTTAGTCTCTCTGACTTCAGTTTTTGACATGACCATTTCAAGTGATGAGAAAACAATTAGGAAAAATGCATGGAAAACAAAATATTTTTACAAAATGAACATATAGTTCATAGCATGTACTTGGCATGAGTTCTACCTCCACCCCTTAACAAAAAAACTTCTGAGTCTCGATTTATTTATTTCTAAAATGGGGCTTATAAAACTTAGAGAGTAATTGTGAATATTGGGAGATAAAATGCTTGTGAAAACTCTTCAGAAACCTTAAAGCTCTCCAAATGTATTAGTTGCTATTACTCTGTATACCAATTCCTAAATGCTTTTCATCCCATATGTTTTTATATTCACCATAGTTCATACAAAGCAAAGTTTGGGGTATATAATAACAACCAATACTTTTGAATTCATTAATTTTTATTGAATGTCTAGCATGTACAGGTACTTTACACACTTTATCTCATTTAATTCTTGCAACAACCATTTTACAGAATAAAAAACTACTCTGAGAGCTTAAGAATCTGCCAAAAGCCATGCTACAAAGTGATTGACCTACTATTCAAGACTAAGTTAAAACTAATACTCTTTTCACTGACCCCGTTGCCTCCCTGCCAATTTACCCTCCATACCCAGCAAAGTTTGTACTATTTCTGAAAAGACTAATCCTTCCCTATGACCTAACTCTTCATGGTTGGATACCCAGCATCCAGAATAATTGTCCACTAAAGGAAAAGGAATAAAAAACAAATACTGAAATAAAATGAAAAATAATTCACCTTTCATTTCACCTCTCTTAAGAGAAACGAATTTCATTTTAAGTGTCACAAATTGAGAGAATAAAAACACATAGAGATTCTCTATACATTAGCATGAGCAAAAATAATTTTAATCTATCCATTAACTCATGGAGCTCAGCCTAATTCAAATACTGCATAGATCTTTTTCTAAAATCTCCATGTTCTTTGATCTTATCATTACCCTTTTATAAGGAACTTTTATTTCATCTTTGTCTCAAATATGGATAATAAAGTTTATTTGTACTTATTAGGCTAAATTTTTACTCCAAGTAATCTTAGATTTATAGAATAGTTGCAAAGATAGTACAGAATGTTCCTGTTTACCTTTTATCCAGTTTCCTCGAATGTTACCATCTTACATAACCATGGTACAACTATCAAAACTAAGAAATTAACGTTGGTACAATACTATAAATTACATTCTAGAGACTCTATTTGGATTTTTACATTAATGTCCTTTTATTGTTCCAGGGCCAATCCAGAATACCAAATTACACTTAGTCATTCATGTCTTATCATCCTCCAATCTGACATTTCCTTGACTTTTGAAGAGTAGTGGTCAGGAACTTTATAGATTGTCCCTCAGTTTGGGTTTGTCTGATGTTTTCCCTGAATTATATTGAGTTTATGGATTGGGGGAAGAGTACCACAGAGGTGATGTGTCATCATCATTTCCTATCATGGGCACATGATATCAACATGACTTACTACTGGTGGCGTTAAGCTTGATCCTTTGGTTAATCGAGCTTTTTAACAATACTATTCGATTGTTATATAACTGATGAAATTAATACTACTATAGTGTTAGATCTACACTTAAGTAATCAAAAATATATTTCATTTAATGATTTAATATTCTTTAGGAATTTAGTGCCATAATCCTGGACTCTGTTAAGTAATGAAAAAGGCATAAGATTTGGGGCCTCAAGATCTGAGTTCAAATCATATCTACTACTTACTGGCTTTAAGTCACAATCTCTATAAGCCTCAATTCCTTCCCTTGAAAAATGGAGATAATTATATTTACCTTAAAGAGTTGCTGTAAAAATTAAATGTGTGCATATTTTATAACCATGAAATGCTATACAAATATTAATTGTTGCTATTATGTTTAAGCTTTTGAGTTGCTTACTGGGCACTTTTTCCTACTTTAGAAAAAGATTTTCTGAAATGATGTGAGTACCCATATGAAAAAGCCTGCTGAATCTCAGAAATAAAATGCCAAAGCCACAATTATGAAATGATAAAAAAAAAGTCCCCTGAGGGTACCAGTCTGTTTTCCACCTCCGTTGGATCTATAAATATAACAAAGAGGAAGACTTTGAAACTAGGTAAAGAAATTATAATTTACATATTTACATAAGTTCATCATTCAGAAACTATGCACACTTAAGTCAAAGAGGGAAAAGCACAAAATAATTTGATATTTCTATAAGCTCTTTACAATGAGTATGAACTGCTGAAAAAAAGATTTCCATGATACTTAGTATTCAATATCCAAATATAAAGTCTCTATTTTCAGAGTCTGAAATATATGTCATTACTGTTAAAAGAGAAACTACTTTCAATATAATACCTGCTTAACAGTGAATCTTTCTTGTACACCATGTTAGAATGTAAGCTTTTTGAGGGCAGAGCTCCTCATTTTTTAATATACTTCAGTGAACTAGCACTCAGTAATGTTAGATTTTCATTGGAGGTACTTTGTAGTGCTTACATATACTCTCTGAAATAAGACTGCAACCTCTGCACTGCCAGTTCTGGTTTACACAATAAGCAGACTAAGCATATATACTTTGGGGCACCAGCAACACCAGAGTAAAGCAACAAAAAATATTTCCTTAAAGGACTTACTATTTCAGCAAAAGCACTGAAGTAGTCATTATGGGGAAAATCAGAACTCTGTTGCACTTCTTTGCACTTATTTTTTGGTTTTTGTATTATTTTTATTTTATTTACATATGAGGTGAGGTGGTGAGACATCAAAATCTTTTCAGTGCTTACTACCTCCAAAAATCTTAATTCAGCTCTGTATGCATCTTAAATTACCATAAATTGTATTTACTCAGTTATTCAGCAAAAAGTATTTTATTTCATGGCAATTATAACACACATAACACATGTGTTAAATGAGTTGCACAATGAGTACAATTTAAGAGTCTCATTACCATATCTTTTCTTAGCAAGAAACCATAATGCTAGAAAGCAACTCTCATAAATTGGACTAATGCCAGTTATATCTTATCCACCAACAGAGCTACTATAACATTACACCCTCCAGCTGAGCTGTACTAAAAGATTACACAATATATTGCCAGAATAATCAAATTATATTATTTATGGCATTTACTGGCATAAATGGAATCCTAAATGTTCTATTTGAAATGTCTAAATACATGTCAAAAAAAAGAGGAGTTAGTTTCTTGTGTTGTAGCTCACGCTTGATTCACATTTCAAGTTTAGTCACCTAAGAGCCCTGGCTATCTTTTTCCTCAACAATTCAGTTAAAGAAAACACCGCCAGATTCTACCTAGTTTCAATTCTCTCTCTACCTACCAGCCAATCTGTTGCTACATGATTATCCAGATGTTTCTGGTATGTTTTTGCTAATATACTTCAAGAAGCTGAGTACAGATGTTGCTTGAGGATATGCTTGCTACAGGCCAGCACTAATTAGACCACTTGTCATTTTTCGCTTGGTTTCATTTTGACCATTGGGTGCATCACGTAACCGTGTTGGATATTTTTAAGAACAAGAAATATAGAACGCTGTAGTTAATTAATCTTACATAGCTAAAAGAGGAAGTTAAAAGTACAGAGTGAACTGGTGTATCAGATGATTGAAATAAACGATTTACATTTAGACACCTCCCCTGGCCCCTCCCCCACCAAAAGAAGTCCGCATCTATGTAGTGAGAACTTTGACAATAAAGAAATGGCCTTTTTAGAAAACCCTTCCCAAGACATTTTAAATTTTGCTTTAAAGTTAATTTTTTCGCCCTTTCCCTTAAAAAATGTAATATTTCAGTTTCGAAACATTAAGGTTTCAGAGTTCGTCATGATTTCTTACCTACATACCATGTTTTAGTATTCGTAAAAATCACTCTATAAAAGACTTTTGCTTTTGCTGAGCACTGCTCTTGCTGTCAGTCCGGGTCTCTCTCTCCAACCCCACGGCCACCTCTGCCCACTGCGGCCCTGGGCGTTGATCTGGCAGGTGCGAGACTGGGGCCGGCGGAGAAGAGGCAGAGTTTACACAGCGCAAAGCCCCAGAAGACTAGGCAGCGCAGGCCTGGCCGCCGGAACTTTGAGAGCCTAGCACGAGAGCGCAGAGGCCGGCTCGCTCTCCGCCTTCCAGCAGCCAGCCGCTCCCAGCCTCTAAGGCCCTGCGGCTCTCCGCAGCGGTCTTAATTAACAAGCCTCTTCGCCCTCACGCCCGCACCCGTCGGGCTCCGGGCAGCCGGGGGTTTCGCGTCGCCTGCTCCAACCCGCCGGCCAGCCGGAGGAGGCCGCGCAGTTGGCTGGTGGGAGCCAAAGCAAGAGACGGAGGGAGGGAGGCGGGGAGCTAGGAGGCTGGAGAGAGGGAGCTGGGCGGGAGGCGGGGCGGAGCGAGGGAGCGGCGAGCGAGAGCGCCACTAGGGTTGAGGGCGGGGCGTGGGCGGTGCCCGGCCTTCCCGCTCCCGCGGCGCAGCAACTCCGCCGAGCCTACTTAAAACTCTGCCGTTAAAATGGGGGCGGGTTTTTCAACTCAAAAAGCGCTCAATTTTTTTCTTTTCAAAAAAAGCTGATGAGGTCGGAAAAAAGGGAGAAGAAACCGGCACCGTCTCTGCAGCGGCAACAGAAGCGGCAATTGTTTGAGCTAAAAAAGAAGTAAAGGAGAGAAAGAAGGAAAAGAGCAGAAAGAGGGACAACGCTCAAGTGTCTGTAGAGGTGAAGGGAGACGGGACCAGCGATTTAGGGGAGACCAGCTACAAAAGAAACTGTCACCGGGAGTGCAGCGGCTCGGAAAGGAAGCAGTGCCATTCAGCTCAGCTTCAGGGCACAGCTGGCTGCGGCCGCTGCCCTGTCGGCGGCACAGGCTGGGGGCACAGGCCGGGGGACCGAGAAAGGTTGGCGAAGTGGCACCGGGTGCCGAAGCTGCCGGGCTCTCGCGGAGAGGGCGGCGAGACTGGCTGCGGGCTGGGATTGTGGTGATTCCCCATACTCAGAGCTTGGCCTGCGCTTCTCAGGACCCTCCTGATCTCTGGAGGCCCTCAGAAAACCGAGAAAGGAAGAAAAAGACGGCGGCGGCGGCTCAATGAGCGTCTACTGTAGGAAGTCTGAACTGGCTCGGTCGTAGGCGGGAAGTTACCGGTAGGCTGCCCCGTGCAGCCGCGATGCTGCCGCGCGCTGCCCCAGCAGCTGCGGCCCGGTAGACGCTTCCCGCATTGCTCTGCCCTTCCTTACGCTGCTGGGAGTCCAGGGACCCGGTGGGGCCGGCATGACCCACTTGCCCGGGGCCCGCCGCGCGCCCGGCCGCCTCCGAGGACGCGCTCCGAGCCTGGCTCCCACGGCCTCTGAGGCTTGGCGGGGCAGGGGGAGCCCAGCGGGCGGGCTCCGGAGCCTTCCCGCACGGCGTTAGTCCGCTGCTCGGCCG